CAGATTTTTTTTTTTGTGCCAACCTTAACTACCGTATTTTCTGGAGTATAAGCCCCTACTTTTTTCCCACTGTTTGAACCATACTTCTTATGCAAAGGTGCTACATTTCTCTGCATTTTTCTTAATGATAAAAATTTGAAAAAAGTTGGAAATCAAAGAAGAAACGCAAGACGTGGACCAAATGTCCCGAATTTACACATTTTGATATTTATTTGCCGCATTAAAATAATCGAAACAAAAAAGAGACTGTGCATAACTCTTGCAGAGCTAAAACGAAGAGCTAACAAAGCCCCATCTTTCATTAGAAGCTCTTACTACCATTAGCCAACAAGTTAACGGGGAGCTAGCATTATTCTTCGTCCCTACTCTAGAGCTCCCCCTGCAGCTTTGGTGGAGAACAGTTCAGTAGATGTCAGCAGCATTAGCAAGGCGTGGCTTACATATGTACAATTTCAGTTTTGTTTTTTTAATTTGTGGGTGTGCCTTATAGTGAGGTGCCCTCTATACTCTGGAAAACACAGTACGTAAGTGAGCCTTGTTAAACATCATGCTTGATTTAATTATAATGCCTTAAATTTATCTCCTCTCTGTTTTAATAGCTCCAACCCGGTGCTGAAGGGGATGTGGCCTGAGGGGAAGCTGAGAATTACAGAGGTGACCAAAAGGCCACAGACAGCAGGGACAATCTTCAAAAACTCCATGATCTCTCTAGTGGAGAACCTTGCCAGCAAGGTGGGGAGCCAGATTTAGTTCCCATATCATGATATAAATGGAAACTCTATGAAAGATGCATTGTTGATTCTAATTTTGCTTCTTCCCAATATCACATTTCAATCCTTTTTCTTTAGTTTTTATTCATAAATTTTAGGTTGCATAAAACTTCTAGTCCTGCAAACAATAATAAAAAAAATTAAACAAACTGTAAAGTAGTGGTTTGAACCGGCATCTGGCTGCCAGAGTGAACAGGTTTCAGGCTTGGCCTGTGTTGTGGGACTCGCCTTGCATCTTTCTCTGAACCTCTTTGGCTCAGGGGTCATTCTCTCCGCTGGGGTCCTGCAGCCTCCAGGAGCTCAGGCCACCTGCCACATGTTGGTTTGGGATGCAAAAGCACCAGATGGCAAGCTTATCTTACCGCCCTTCTCACCATTTCAACAACTTGCACTCCCAGGTGTCAAAATCATGCACACACCCACAGATCCAAGCTATACACTCATCTACTCAGACTTGCACAGAGAAACACACATCCTTACAGTAATCAAACTTAAGCATCACTCTAAGGTGGCCTCTCATCTTGATGAAAGATGTAGTTTTGATTTTATAGTCAATTATACAATAACAAATCAGGAATCCTGTTTTGTAAAGCGGACTTGAACAATCCCCTCTGCTCCAGATTGACCAAGAGTTGGTGTGACGAGCAACAAAAATAGAATAGCTGCGTATTTTAGAGAAGCTTCCAAGTTAAAATACTTTTTTCTTTTTTTTTTTTACAGCAGTTAATTTTTTTAGGTAATGAAAAATTTTATAATAGATACGAATATAGGTATGTTATTTCTTGAAGGAAAATATTTGTAAAATAATCTGGATCGAATTTAACTGTAGCAAACTGGATCTAAATCTAGATTTCTTAAAATAAGTAGAATTTCAGTTGTGCTTGGACTGAATTTAACGGGATGTATTCAGACCTATTCAATTTGGCTCGAGTCGATCTCTCTAGGCTAAGAACATTAAAATTAAAACACATTTACTTCACAATAAAAGGAAAGAAATTAAATTAAATCTCCTGATTAGCATTCTAATGCATTCTAGCTATTCTTTCGTTTGGTTTGTAAGTATTTGCACTTGTTATTAACCCTCAGCTGACCTGTCATCCACAGGAACCCTACTATGTCCGCTGCATCAAACCCAACGACGTTAAATCTCCTCTTTTGTTTGAGCCTGAGCGCTGCCGCCATCAGGTGGAGTACCTCGGGCTGTTGGAGAACGTCAGAGTGCGTCGAGCCGGCTTCGCCTACAGGCAGACATATCCTAGATTCCTGCAGAGGTACAGCAGTCTTACAAGAATTTCACCGGCTTTTTTATTTCTCTCAATCTTTAATCACTTTATATAGGTTTTTGATTATCTAGTTATAGATTTTTTATTATTGTTTTAAATGCTTTTAATGGATTTGCAGTTAAATTTGATGTATTTAAGATGTTTGTGATCATTAGTAGCACTGAAAATAAGTGTTAGTCGTAGTAGTTTATTAAACATGATGATGAAAGAAAAGCAGCCTCGTTCACAGCAACTTTCTCACTTCTGTCCAAGTAATGATNGTAGTAGTTTATTAAACATGATGATGAAAGAAAAGCAGCCTCGTTCACAGCAACTTTCTCACTTCTGTCCAAGTAATGATATGTTTAAATTCATTCTTTAAATTAATTTTTTTTTTATTTAAGAAGATTAATAATTTAACCTTTTAATCATAGTGAAGCAAACACAAATTAAGAAATAATTTATAAAAAGATAAAATCACCCCTAATGTTACTGAAGAATTATATAACCATTGATATATGTTTTATTTCTGTCTTTTTTTATAACTTGTCCTTAATTTTTTAGGTTGGTCAGATTTTTTAGCAAACTATGGATTATCTGATGACAGATTTTTCCAACCCAAGTATGAGAACAAGTTCTGATGTTTTACTGCTTCCAGAGAACGATCCAAATACTGAAGGAAACCTTTGTTATACTGAAGTTTTAGCAGAGTTTCTTCAATATTATAAAGAGACAAAGTTTACCTTTAATCTGTTACAGTTTAGATATAGTTCTTTTTTCTTTACACCTTCTGACAACTTTGCTGAGTAGAATTTGCTGTCAGCCTTCATCAAAAATAAAATGACTATCGGCTGGCTTGTCTTCACAGAACTGCCACAAAACCTGTTGGAAAAAAAAAGAAAGAAAAAATAATGAAATTGGGTCATTGCCAGTTAGTAACTAAGTAACTCAAAACTTGCCAAAGTAACTCTGCAGTAACTTTTTGTTTTAATATGTTGAAGAATTTGGAAAACTTTTTTGTTATTGGAATTTTAAATACATCTAGATGTTCAGTTATGTAATGTAAGTTGTTTGCTATTAACTCATGAATTAAATAATTAATTAAAAGGACTACACATCTGAAAACATTGGAAACTAATCTGCACTGTGATAGTGTGTGTGCTTTGACATGGGAGTCGCAACATGATTATATAGATGAAGATGATGCTGCTGTTTGTTAATTCAGATGTTTTAGAACTCTATATATTTTTTAGATTTTTTTAAAGAACTGCAAAACTACCTAGAGATGATAGCCAACTAATTTGTTAAGCTGATTAAGGAGAGCATTAAACAGAGAAGAAGCCAGTGGACGCTGCAAAGATCCTCAGCACAAATATAACCTCTATAGATTTATAATGTAAAAAAAAAAAAGACAATTACCGAAAGGATATTACTGAAAGGAAGCCAAGATCCCAAACTTTTTTTATCCCTTCTATGTCCCAACTGGGTTGACGCACCCCCAATCCCCCACACCTTCAAAAAAAATAAAATAAAATGCTTTTCAAACAAAACAAAACTTTTTAGCCATATTAAAGACGACATGGTTAATCATTCTCAAATAACCAGAACAAACATCACAAAAAAATAATAAAATAAAGCAAATCTGTCATAAAACGTGTTATGGAAATTAAATTAGAACTGAATTTGAATTAAATTGCAATAAAGCTACACAGTTTATCCGCAATGAGATCCTTTTAAGGTGCAGCAAGTGAAAGAAAGGGACACGTAGATCACTCAAACCTCCACAGAAAACCTTAAATGTCCCTGAAGGTTGATTCACTCTAAAGCTGACTCACAATTTACGCCACAAAATAGAAACTCTAAGAGACTGAGCGCCGGCCTTGATGAGGCAGTTATTAATCAGATGAATACAATGATATCCCCTAATTTTTTTAACAGCCGTAACATTCAGTGGGTAGAAACACTCATGGCAACACACCTCAGCTCCCCTCATCACTGGTTTCCCAGTTCTTGTCTGAATGAAGGTTAAAACTGCATCTTCAAAATAAACAGCACCTATCTGAATCACATATTACAGCTCTGTGTGTGAGCATAGTCAAGAAATCGTGTCTGCCTTCAATTTTCCAACCAACAGTAGCAGTGTGGTTATGATGTGTGCATCAGTGTAGCCAGGTAATAGTCTCAGCCCAGTGGCGGTTCTACACCAAAGTACCAGGGGGCCAGGAGGGGGCCAATGTTGTTTTCATGGGGGCCCAGAAAAGCATGAAATAAAAAAAAACAGGGTTAGCGATTTAAATATATTAAGATAGCTGCATGAAGTGACATTTCTATTCAATTAGGTTTCAATAAAATTCTATGTCTTATTAAATCAACAGACATTCATAATTTAGGAATTTTACATATTTTTTACTTAATTTAAGTTTTTTTTATATAAATTCTGAATTAGAACTCCAGAAAAAAACAGATAAATTCAGCTGTAAAAATTTGATTTTTTTTTTTTTATTTGTTTTGGAAAAAAACATTAAGCAGATAAAAACTGGGCTCCTATCTCAAGGCGACTGAAGCTATCACCTCCTTGTTTTAAATAATTGCTAAAACAGAATTTGTAAAGAAAAAAATGAAATAGATGCAAAGGACCTATCAGTAACCATGTCTGTTCCAGGGCATATCATCATTAGAATTTCTTTGAGTATTATGTATTCAATACAGGGGCCATAACGGGGGCCAGGATATGATCTACAGGGGCACTGGCCCCCGTCGGCCCCTGTCTAGAACCGCCCATGTCTCAGCCCCATGAGCAGTGCTGCAGACTAGCTGCATACTACAGTACATAGAAGGATAACTTCCTCCATGATGCATCTTAAAATGAAGCGTGAACAAAAGAAGTTACATTTTTGAAGTGAAGAATATTTGCAGGAGTTGTACTTAAAAGTTTCTTCATTAAAAAGTCATCTTTACAAATATCAGGTTAATTGATTTCATGTTAGTTTCTCCACACTATACACATGTTGGAGGAATCAGTTTGTCATAGAAGCTAAAAATTTAACTTTAAAGGATTTCTGGATAATTAATAAAAGGTCAAATCAGTGGAAATGAAGATACCTTGACAATTTCACTGATTAATTGGAATTTAATAAAGGATTTACAATAATTTAGACTTAAACATGGATTTAGCTGTTTCTTATGTTATGATTTTGGGTTTCTTTAGATACAAGATGATCTCAGAGTATACGTGGCCCAACCACGACCTCTCCTCAGACAAAGATGCTGTGAAGAAGCTTCTGCAGGGCTGCAAGTTTGACCATGACGTGGCTTACGGCAAAACAAAGGTCTTTATCCGCACTCCTCGCACTCTCTTCACTCTGGAGGAACAGCGATCTGAAATGGTCAAAAGAATTGTCATCTTCCTACAGAAGGTAATCTCAAAACCACATTGGGTTGTTTTATTAACTTTATTGCTCATGTATCATCCAGTATAACCCTTTTAAATGCGAATTGTTAGGAACCCATTAATCAAAGCTTTGTCATTTTATAGTGTTTGATGATAATGAAAGAGGTTCTAATTACAAACATCCATCATTCTTAAAACCTTTCACTATCTCTCACAAACAGAAACATCTGATTACAACCTTGAAATTAGATTATGAGCTTCATCTGTTTACCGAGATTCCAAGAGCCTTTTCTTTTTGGATTCCATCAGCTGCTGTTCTGCATTTAGAAAAACAGAGAAACAAGCAGGACCATGCAATAACTTAGACTGCTACAGAGCTGCGCTAAAGGCTGACATCTAAAAAAAAATGGATGATTTTGCCTTCATAACTTCTGTCTTTGTTCCCGAACATAATGAGCAATTCACAGAAACATTTAGCCTTCAGTAGCTTTACTGTAGGAACGCTGTCATAGAGTAAGTGGATCTGCACCATCATCTCTCCTCTGTGTTCCAGGCATAACTGTGCTTACAAGTGTAATTTGCTGTCACGTGTGCTTCCACCGGGAAATTTTAGTCCTTATTTTTACATTTTAAGTAATGAAAAATGAATCTGCTTAAAATGTATTAATGGGTAACACGTTATTGACTTTTAGCTACAGTTCTAGTTACTGCAAAATTAGCATTGTTTCTGCATTGTTAATGTCCCAACTCTGGACATGGCGCATCTATTGGTAAAAATTTTATCCAAATTATCTCACAAAATCAAAACTTTTGACTAGTCACAATATCAACTTTCTCAGCACCAAAAACGTAATTTTTCTATTTATTTATTAATTTATTTTTTTACTCTGTGTTTCACACCGACTCTGTCTTAATGTCTTGATCATAACTTTATTATCCAACACCTATTCCACCATTGTTATAAGCTATTGCAAATGAGCCCTATAATTAAATCCTATATTGTTTTTTCATTTCTAACAACCACAATATTTAGTCTTATATAGCAGCTACTTCAATCAACCATATTCCATTTTAATCATTTGATTAATGATTATTTATGTTGGAATGATCGTGCTTTAGCACAGCAGTGTTTACTATGCACTGATCTTCTTTTATTCATACAAAGGGCCTGGCTGACGCTATTAGCAGCTGAAATATGGAATCGAAACGGATGATTCTGCTTTCATAAGTTGAATTTTTTTCTTAGTTACAGGGTTTCCGCGGGTCATTAAAAGTCATTAAATTTTATTTTTTTTAAATAAAGCCTTAATTAGCATCAAAATTAATTAAAAGTGATTATCATGGCATTTAAAATGCTTTATTTAAAAAGAGAAAAAAAAAGTTTCTAAAAACAATTTTGTCAAATATATCAGAAATAACTGGTTCCGCATGTTTGCGTGGAACTGCTTCCGGTGGAACGTAAAGCCGAATGATCGGAAAACAAGCTCAAGGCGGAGGAAAAGCTAGAGTAGGGGAAAATGCAAATTTCAACAAAAGTTGCTGGAATATGAGGAAACCGGGACATGGCTGCAGCATGTCGACAGTAAAGATGGCGAAGGGTGAAAAACAGGGTGGGGGTAGCAGAGAAGCTCAGACACAAAGAGGACAGAATTCATTCAATATATTCCACTTTCATTCCATATTCTCAGGAAATCATTCAAAATATTCAAGTTTCATTCCATATTCTCAGGAAATCATTCAAAATATTTAATTTTTTATTCAAAATATTCAGGCTTAATTCAATTTACTCAGAACATTATTCAAAATATTCGAACATTATTAAAAATATTCAACTTTCGTTCAATATATTCTAACTCTTGTCAGTATATATAATTATTATAATATATATTAGAGCCATGGATACTTATTGATGGCATTAAAATGATTTCTAAGAGCATTAAAAGAGCGTTAATAATCATTAAATTTGAGCTACTCATTCCTGTATAAACCCTGAATTAGGCCGCAACAAACAGAATAGTGGGGCTGAGAGAAAAATAACCTAACATTCAAGGGTATGCCCGTAACTTTTTCTACTGGTTTTTGTACCATCTGTTAAAATTATGTCAGCTTTTTTTAAAATAACCTTATGACTTAAAAAGAGGATCTTTAAGAACATTTTACATAAACTTTGAATGTCCTTTAATAGTAAAATGGTTATTGCAATTCTTGTCATGGAGATTTTATATCTAATCTGAATTTGTACATTTTTTTTCTTGTTTTACATGTTTCAAACGATTAAAGATAATGGTGGAAATAATAACTACTTTGTGGAATTCAGAAAATAAAAAGAATTTCAGGAAAAATCTTAAAAAATATTTGCTTAAAAACCTGATTTTTTTTGTTTGTTTTTTTTTCAATAATCAAACCTCTGATTGAAAATATCTGTTGTCTTTTAAAGTATTTTGTAATTTTCTCCTTCCATTATCACAGTAAGAGAAAGATGGTTGAACACATTTCAGATCTTCGGCCGTGAATGTTGATCTCTGGATGTGTCACTGAGTTGAGTGGTTGTTGTCCTCCTCATGCGTCATTGATTTGATGACACTTCCTCCAAGCATGGAGGAATTGTCAAGATCTTGGTGTGATTTAGCAGACAGGCATCTATTTATTATGCGCCGGAAGAATTTGATGTTTGTAAATGTGGACCAGATCTGTCTAAGGGTTAAATTCAGAATATTTAATTCGAACTGCATGCCAGTCAGACTCCTACAGCATCAGCTTGTCAAACATGTGAATGAAATCTGATGCATAAATCAGCCGAGCCGTTCTTACACTTTCTCTGGTCGTCATTACTTAATGTCAGCAGATTCCTCCACATTGAATTCCTCTAACGTGCATTTCTGTTGAGGTAAGCCTTAACATGAAAGCGTTTCCCAAGGTGAATTATCCTCTGTAGTGAAATGATTGGCTGACCTTTTTATTGATCTGCGTGACCCTTTGTGTGTTCCTTCATCCTCTCCCAGAGGAAATCCTGATCTTGTATCTCGGGGTGTAATCCACCTTTGATAAGGAGCCGCTTTTCCACCTAATCAAACAGCTCAGCACGGCTGACGTTTTGCTGAAGCGCTGTTTAGTTTTAGCCTTGGTCGGTTTTAAAGCTAAACATTCAGTATGTACTTCACGTTTGTGTTCATTCGCTTCATTTTCTCAGAACATCAAATAAAAGCATGATGGTAGAATAGACTCCTGTATTTTTAATGCTGTTACTCAAACAGCATCCCAGCCACAGTCTGATTTGCTGTGCCAAGCGGCGTCCTTATCAGGACCTGGCACACCATCCAACCTTATGCCAGGAGGGACATCGATGCCAAACCTGCTGCTGTGTGACTGAGACACAGGCGTGCCCCTCGTCCTTATTTACCTCACAGATTTATAATGATTCCACTTAGTTTACTCCATCAAACAACACAATCTGTGGCTTTGCATACAGCTAAAGTGGCAGCTGGGTGTCTACACTCGGAAATCCCAGAATTTAGGCTTCTTTCCTTAATTCTCTCAATGTCAAAATTAGTTTATTTGGGTTCTATATAACAACTCATTTTCTTTCATCCATTCATCAATTTTTTCTAATCCCTGGTTGAAACTTTCAGATTTTTTTAACAATTTCTATAAATAGTGTTTTTTTTTCTTTTGTTTTTTGTTGTAACTCTGAACTTTTCCTGAATTTGATTTGGAAAAAACATATACGGTAGCCTTTCAGACACTAACACAGATTATTGTAGGTTGTAATCTTAAAGGAATAGTACACCCAAAACATGATAAGCCTTCATTTTCTACTCACCCCCATGCTGAACAACACTCTGGAGTA